GTGTGTGTGTGTGTGTGGATTTGTACAAATGAATTTTGGTTTGCACTCTGCCAAGTTGCTGGGAATAAAAGTTGACGGCACTGTTTGTTTGTTTACAGTAAAGTGAAGGAGTTGAAGTGGACGATGAGCACAGACAGATGATGGATGGACAAGTTCCGTATCGTATCTATGATCCTGGTGGGAACAGCCATTTACGAACGAGTGATGTCAGCAGTGAGCCCGAGATTATCGATTCCATTTCCTACCAGCAGCTGGTGGAAGAAAATCAGGTCCTAAAGGAGAGGATGAAAGGCTTGAGGAGTTTAGGTAGTAACTGTCTGGATAATTCCATTTGATTTTTCTTTCTCATCTTGACTGTACAATTGAAGTGACATCAAGACTGCAGTCAGTTCTGAACTGTTGATGAGGGGAAATGGTAGCCCACTGGGTGTTTGCAATGAAGTGAGACAGAGCACTGCGTCTGCAGTTGAATAGCTGGCTAGTACTGACTTACTGAGGCCCTGGGATAAATAGTTCATCAACTCACTGCGTGCTGTCTCATGCTCACCCTCACGCTCTGTCTCTCACTCTTTCACACTCACTTGTGCTCACGTTGTCCCATGCTCACGCTGTCTCTCCCAGCCCCCTCGCTTGCTCGTTCACATACTCCTGGCCTATTGGGGTGACACCTTCATTCTGTCCACAGTTATGACCCCAGGCTCCCCGTGGGCCTGACGCCTGACCTCTGACCTTACTGTGGGTCTGATGTCTCTGCCCTCGGCCTGCTGCGCTGTCCCCATGAGGCTTGAGGAGCAGCGCCCCCTATCTTTCACATCATTGCATTACAGCCTCTGGTCTTCACATTGAGTTCAGCTCCAACTCTTGTGTCCAAACCCCCTGCTAGCCACTACTCTGTTTCCTTTCTCTTTGTTTTCTTTTAATCAACATAACCACATCCTTTTCGTTTCTCTCTTCCTGCCCTTATCACCATTCTTCTAATTCTAGAGCTTTATGACTTCTTTCATTTGATTGCTACTGCCTCCCACTGTATCCCAGAGCCTTCCTTCTGTATTGTCCCACTCACCATGTGTTGGGAACCTATTACATCTCTAACTCTTCCCAGTTCAGAGAATAATGTCACAGACCTGAAATGTTAATGTAAACACAGGAAGGATGCTCCCAACGACCAGGGAGTCCAGAACCAGGGGTCACATAAGGATATGGGGTAGGCCATTTCAGACTGAGATGACGAGAAATGTTTTCACCCAGGGAGTTGGTCAGCCTGTGGTATTCTATGCCACAGAATGTGCTTGAGGCCAAAGCATTAAATGTTTTTAAACAGAAGTTAAATATAATCCTTGTGGGCCAAAGGGATCAAAAGATATGGGACAAAAGTGGGAACAGGGGGCTGAGTTGGATGATCAGCCATGATCCTATTGAATGGTGGAGTAGGCTTGGGAGGGCCGAATGGCCTACTCCTATTTTCTACACTTTTACGAAGGAATGTGCAGATTTACTGGGAGAAGGCAGGAGAGTGACACAAGGTGAGATCTCCATTTGGAGAACTAGCACAGAGACACCGGGCTGAATGGCCTCTCTTTGTGATTCTTTGATAGGGGAGAGTGTACAGGGGCTGTGACAGGAGTGTGTTTGATGGGTTGAATTGTTTTTTTTTGCTTTTCCACCTGACTGCCTGAATGAGCTCTCCCACTTTTCACTGTGTGGTGGCTGAGCGTGTGGATTCTGTGCCCTAGGGAACCTGTTGGAGGAATCTCAGGCTGAAGCATTAAAGCTGCGACAGAAGGTTGAGGAGCTGGCCCATCAGGATTCTCTGAAATCTGCAAGTCTATCAGCTCAGGCTAATAGTCCAGCTCTGACCAGTGACGTACAAGGTATGAAACAATAATAACCTGCTATCCTTCCTCTGTCCAGTATGAAGGAGGAATCAATGACATTTCCTCACGATTCATGAGTCAATTTCTGATTTTGTTTTTTAAAAAAATATAAAACCTGCTGTGCAGCCTGAGGGCTTTTCTCTATCTTCCTTGACTGATTGCAATCTGGTTCTCCTACACTCTAACGTCCTAGCCCCCCTGAAGACTTAGAAACTGTTACATCATGTATGTGTCAAACAGTGCCCCCGAATTGTAAAGCCATGTCCCCTAATTCTGTACTGACCCACAAGAGGAAATATCCTTTCCACATGTACTTTGTCAGGATTATTTAGGATGTTATACCCTTGTTTACCTTGTTGATTCTGTGCATATCATCGATCATACTTTTTTTGTGACTTGTGCATTGAATATCTAAATCCCTCAGCAGCTCAGAATTCAGCAGTTGTTCTCCATTTAAGTAATACTCAGTATTTGCATCGTTCCTGCCAAAGTGCACACCTTCACAATATCCCACAGCCCGTTCCATCTGATTGATTGCACGGGCAAAAACCAACCAGTCGATATCTACCTTTTTCTGATTGTGTGCTTCACAAAGTGCTGTCTTGCTTCTGTCTAAGTTTTCTCAGTGATTTTTAGCTCCTGTGCCTTTGATTCCCCTCGTCTAAGTCATTGTCTGTAAATTGGAAAGAGTTGAGACCAGAGCACAGACCCCTGCGGAATCTGCTCTCAGCTCTTCCCACTCGGACAAAGGCCTGTTTTTGCATCCTGTGTTTTCTGCCAGCCGGCCAATCCTCTAACTGTGCTAATAACATAAGAATCACACAGTATAGAAGAGGCCCTTCTGCCCATTACTTCAAACTACCAAAAATATCACACCACAGATACCAGTCCCAATTTCCTGCACTAGGCTCATAGCTTTGAATATTGTAACATTTGAGGTGCTCGTCCAAGTACTTTCTAAAGGTTGAGAGGTCCAGCTGGCTAACCTTGTTACAATCACTACATCTAAGTTTAAAATACTAGTTTTAGACTCCATCATCTCCCTTTCAAACTGAATGTAAACATTTTTTTTTTATTCGTTTACGGGCAGTGAACATCTCTGACCAGGCCAGCATTTATTGATTTAGGTTGTTTTTTGTTTTTTTTTGATTTATTGTAGTCACATGTACCTAAGTACAGTGAAAAGCTTTGTTTTACGTGCAGTACAGGGAGATCACAGCAAACAAAAACCTACAGATCATAGAGTGCTTGGGCAGAGTGAGCCGTACAAGGTTACAGCTGTACTGGAGGTGCACAAAGCAAGACCTGAATGATCTGAAGTTGGAGAGGTCCATTCAGCAGTCTGATAACGGCAGGGAAGAAGCTTTTCTTGAACCTGTTGGTGTGCGTGTTCAAGTTTCAGTATCCTCTGCCTGACAGAAGAGGTTGGAAGAGAGAATTACCAGAGTGGGAGGGGTCTTTGATGTTGGTAGCCTTTCCATGGCAACGAGAAGTGTAAACGAAGTCCATGACTGTCTGTCCCTAATTGCCCAGAGGGCAGTATTGAGTCAACCACATTGCTGTGGGTCTGGAGTCACATGTAGACCAGACCAGGTAAGGATGGCAGATTTCCTTCATTGAAAGGCATTAGTGAACCAGATGGGTTTTCCCTGACAATCGACAATGTTTTCAAGGTCATTGTTCGCCTTTTAATTCCAGATTTTTTAAAATTGAAATTAAATTCCGCCACCTGCAAAGGTGGGATCTTGAACCTGGTTCCCCAGAACTTCACCTGGGATTCTGGATGAATCGTTCAGCGATTAATACCATTAGCCAGTCAAGGTTTAATCCTATTTTAGTGTGGTTGGTGTTATCTCTGTTCCCTTTACTCTGAGGTTATTAATTAACCGGGTCACATGGCACAACGCCAACTCTAATAGAACCTGCGCTTTGGTCAGTTCCAAAACCCTGTGCTCTCAAAACTTTTTTTAGTCTTAAAAGCAGACTCCAAACAAGACATCCAGTCTACTAGTGTCAGTCTGATTTGACCAGTCCCTGGAGCTGGGGTCCTGGAAATGCAGAAATTCCCTCCCTGATATCTGTGTGAGTGTACCCACCCTGGAAATCAGTGATCCAAGAAAGTAGTTCACCACTTCCTTCCTTCCCATGGCGATTTTTAAGAATGGACCATACATGATAGCCTGGTTGGCAACACCCACATCTTGTGAGTTAAGTATTTTAAAAAAAAACACACAGGGGAATTACTTTTGCTGTAGATTGCAGTGGCTACCCTGCTCCTTTGGTCTGAGAGAATATTCAGGCCCAGAGATCTCCTGAAAATTGTTGCTGTAGAGGGCTGTGGAGTCCATGTCACTCAGTGTATTTAAGGCAGAGATAGGTTCTTGATTGGTCAGGGGATGAAGGATGGCGGGGAGAAGCAGGAGAATGGAGTTGAGAAATGTGTCCGCCATGATTGAATGATGAGCCAAATAGCCTAATTCTGCTCCTGCATCTCGTGGCCTAAAATCCTGAGCTTCCCTTCCTTTTCTATCCAGTTCCCATGTGTGTCACAACCTTACTTACAGAACAACCTGTACGGACTGCTTTTAATGAAAGAGTTTGGCGTCTAATGTTAATGAAGCCTTTTGCTTGTTTTGGATTCTCTTCCAGGTTCTGCTCACCCACATCAAAGTGACTCAGACAAGCATGGCAAACTGGTGGCAGAGGCCAAGTCAGAAGTGAAGGCTTCATCTAGTGTGAGTGTTGATCCCTGTGATGCTCAGCTCCTGTTGCTCTCTGTCTGATGGTTTGGGTGTTGAGTCTCTGAATCCTCGCCCAACGGCTCCAAACTCCCTCTCCTACTATCCTCGGTTTCCCAGGGTCTCCTGCCCTCCAGACTGTCCCCAGTTCCAACCCCATCCTTGTTTCTCCCCCTCCCCTTCCACGGACAAAGACTAAACCTCTGAGATGTTGCATCACATTCTCCAGGTCCCTGCCCCCTCCTGTCCTGTTCTACACATCCCATCCATGTTGAGATTCTGAAATTGTATGACTCAGTGCCTTGAGTGAGTGATGGTGCTGGCTTGGAGACTGAAGATTTTGTTGCCTCTTATTAAACACCAGATGTGCCTATTTTTCTAACTGACCTGTTTAGAGATGTTATGGCATGCCTCTGGAGCAGGTGGGACACGAACCTGGGCCTCCTGGCTCAGGGGTATGGACATTACCACTAGGTAATGAGGGCAGACAGGACCAGTGTATGATGCAATCTATTCACCTGGAAGTGTCCATCATATTTGTTAAGGAGCACAGAGGCAAAAGATATCAGAGCAGAATGAGGCCTTTCGGCCCAGCGGGTTTTCTCCATCATTCGATCATGGCTGATATATTTCTCAACCCCAGTCTCCTGCCCTGCCTTGATCCCCTTACTAAACAACAACCCATCTATCTCTGTCTCAAATACACTCAATGACTTGGTCACTACAGTCTTCTGTGGAAATTAGTTCCACAGATTCACCACCCTCTGACTGAAGAAATTCCTCCTCATCTCAGTTCTAAAGGGTCATCCCTTCACTCTGAGGCTGTGCGCTCAGGTCCTAGTCTCTCCAACTAGTGGAAGCATCTTCTCCACGTCCACTGTATCCAGGCGCCTCTGTACTCAGCAAGTTTCAATCAGATCCTCCCTCATCCTTCTAATCTCCATTGAGCACAGACCCAGAGTCTTCAACTGTCCTTCATCACTGGGACCATTCTTATGAACCTCTTCCAATGGCTGCACATCCTTCCTTAGATACAGGGCCCAAAATGGCTCTCAATATTCCAAATGTGGTCTGACCAGAACCTTGTACAGCCTCAGAAGTACATCTCTTGTATACTAGTCTCTCCTACAATGCAGAAAGAGGCCATTCAGCCCATTGTACTGGTGCTGACTGTCAAAATGAGCATCTGACCCAGTCCCATTGCCCTGCCTTCTCCCAGTAACCCTGTGCAATCCTTTTCAAATACTAACCACCTCATTCCTTTTTGAAGGTTTCATTTCATAGAATTTGATAAGAATCCCCACAGTGTGGAAACAGGCCCTTCGGCCCAACAAGTCCACACTGACCGTCAGAGCATCCCACCCAGACCCATCCCCCGATAACCCACCCAATCTACACATTCCCCAACACTATGGTCAATATAGAATGGCCAATCCACCTAGCCCGCACATCTTTGGACTGTGGGAGGAAACCGGAGCACCCAGAGGAAACCCACGCAGACACGGGGAGCATGTGCAAACTCCACACAGACAGACACCCGAGGTTGGAATTGAACCCGGGCCCCTGGAGCTGTGAGGCAGCAGTGCTAACCACTAAGCCACCATGCCACCCGCTGAAACAGTAGCAAAATTATTACCCAGTTGAATGTGTCTCCACCACACTCTCAGGCACAGCATTCCTGACCCAAACCACTCACTGTGTGAGAAAGGCTTTCCTGGTGTCCATCTGTTTTTGCTTTGTTTACTAATTCCTTTGCTTAGCATCGAGTTTTAAAGGTTCATTGTTGTAGTGGTGAGAACAGGCTCTAATGCAATGCTCCTAAAAGGGTCCTGGGATCTCAACTTGAACAGGTTCTGGGGACTGATCTGTGAGCTCCACTTTCCAAAACCAGATTGGCTGTGATCTTATTGAATGGCAGAGCAGGCTGAATGGCCTAATCCTGTTTAGTATTATTTGGGTAAATGGGGTGGATGCAGAATGTTGTTTCCTCTGGGGCCCAGAACAAGAGGACACAGTCTCAAAATAAGGGACACACCTTGAGAACTGAGATGAGGAGGAATTTCTTCACTCTGAGGGTGGTACGTCTTTGGAATACTTTGAGCTTCCACATTCCTCAGAGTTTCAGTCTTTGAACAGGGCAGAGATTGATAGGTTTCTTTTTGATATCAAAGGATACAGTGATAGCACAGAAACATGGCATTGAGGTGAGATGATCATCCATGATCTAGAATGGCAGAGAAACGTTGAGCGGCCTAATGGCCTGTCCCTGTTTCTATGTGACTACAGGTCAAGTGCATTCAAGGGTTAAGTCCGTTTTGGAGATTTAGATCTCTCGAAGGATGTGGGGAGTTGGTAGGAACATGCTTGCTGCACTTGAAAGTCAGCTAGGATTATCTTGAATCTTGGAACAGACCTGAGAGGCTGAATGGCCTTCAACGACTCCAATTCCATCCTATTGTTAAAGTATGGGCACGATAGACTGAACAAGCCCTTGTCTGTCCCCCTTTTTTTGCGAACATGCATGGGGATTGTCCCACTGGGAGCTCACACACACACACACACACACACACACACACACACACACACACACAC